CGCATCCAGACCCATAACTCATAAATACTTATTTTCTTCTTTGGATCATTTCTCTTGAAGTATGTTCGAATCCACATGATTTATAAGATAATTTGATTGAGATCGTAGAATTTTTTACTATAAAGACGACTTCCAATTAGTGATTTACAAAATCACATTTTTTGTTTTCAATCAAAATTAAAAGTTTAATTTTGGTGTCAATCTCGCCAGGACTGGGATTGAAACTGATATCAGACATCTCTTGTTATCATTTATTTGGAGTTTAGTTTTGTTTCATTGACAAGTTGGGAATGATTAATTAATTTCCTCTTTTCATCAATAATTTATTCAACAACTATTTAGACTGAAATAAATATTATAATATTGAGAAAACTATTTTAAGAACAGACATGAGAACATGATTCAGTAGCTCATAAGATTATGGCAATGAAATATTATTTTGATTTTCTTTTTATTAATTAAATTACTAATTTCATTGAAATATTCGTTTGTTGGATAAAAATCTTTTACATAACTTTCTGCACCTCTTCACACAAAAGGTGTCGATGAAGCAGATTAATTAAGTTGTTAATGCAACGGAAAGATATTTTTGTTTTTTTTATTTGTATTACAAGATACTAGTGTGGCAGTAAAAAATTGATTTATGATGTAAGAAAAATTCACTTGAAAATTGCCAGAGTAAAGGACATCATATAGTCTCGGAATCTGGTTCCAGTCCCGTTAAAAGTCTTTTTGGTTTCGGACCCAATTCCGATAAAATGTAAATTTTTGGTTGGGGTCGCGGTTCTCGGCACCATGACCGAGACTGGCACTGGTGCCATACATCTCTCCTCGAGTTACTTGAGAATCAAGTCAAGTCCAAACCCAAATCTCAGCCCAAATCCAGACCTAAATCTTAAGCATCAGATCCAAACCTAAGTCTACCATAACAAATCCAAGTGATTTCATATCAAATTCGAAAGCTTCCAAAATGGAACGGTCAAGAATGTGTGCTCATCCTTAAGAAACGTTTTCTTTTCTTAAAAAAAGAGCTTTCACGTTTGCGGAACGCGTTCTTGACTATTACAGTTTAAAATGATGAAAAACGCGTTCCAAGATCAGCTTTTCCTATGAGAATTTCCGAGGAGTTCCAAATGATTGTCAAAACCTTCAAGGAAAGCTTCTAGGCAATCTACAAGGATTTTTTGTTGTTTTTTGCCTAGCTTTTCAAGTGTTCCTTGAAGTTTTTGTCAATCATTTGGAACTTCTCGGGAATTCTCATAGGAAAAGCTGATCTAGGTTGCATTTTTCAACGAAAGAATGTGGGATGGGATTTATTAGATTTCTAAATCCATACAGAAACCCTTAACAAAGATAAGCCGGGACGCTGTTAAATATACCAATAAAATTTATATAACTTAACTAAGAAGCATATCCTTATCTAAAACAAATTCAACAGAGAAAAGATTTCTCTATCTACTTAATCTGAAATCATGGATCACTGTCTATAATTAAACTCCACGGAACAAAACTGATTGCTTCTATTAAGATGAAATAAAAACTAAAGGAAAACTATCTCTAATTCTACTAGATGGAAAATTGATTGTTTTCTATAAGATGGAATGAAAAATAAGAAAAACCAACTCCAACTCTAGTAGATGGAAGAAATGATTATTTTCATTGGAATGAAATAAAATTAAAGGAGAACTATCTATCTCTACTAGATGGAGAAAATGATCGTTTTTATTAAGAAGGAATGAAAACTAAAGAAAAACTATCTATATCTACACTAGATGAAAAAAAATGATTTTTCTGATTAAAATGTAATAAAACTAGAGAAATCTTAACTCAATCTTTATCATATAAAAAATGATTATTTTTTATTGAGATGAAAAATAACGAAAGGAAAACTAACTCTAACTATACTAGATGAAAAAAGTGATTTTTCTGATTACGATCAAATAAAACTAAAGAAATACTAACTTTATCTATATTGAATGAAAAAAAAAATGACTATTTTTATTAAGATCGAATAAAACTATAGGTGAACTAACTCTATCTCTACTAGATAAAATAAATGACTACTTCTGTTACGATAGAATAAAAGCAAAAGAAAACTAATGGCAAAGTATACTAATTTATCAATCATTTTATTTAGTTTTATTCAAAAACAATAGTGAAGGTTTCCACCTATACACAAGGTCATTATCAACACAAAATGATAGAAAGTGAAAAATATGTACCCAATTCTTCTATTCTATTCTTTTCTTTTGTTCTGTTCTGACTATTGATAAACATTGCAATGAAAGGGGGAGATAATATTTCGATCGCACTGCAATATGTTTATCAATAGCCAGAACAGAACAAAAGAAAAGAATAGAAGAATTGGGTACACATTTTTCACTTTCTATCATTTTGTGTTGATAATGACCTTGTGTATAGGTGGAAACCTTCACTATTGTTTTTGAATAAAACTAAATAAAATGATTGGTAAATTAGTATAATTTACCATTAGTTTATTTTCTTATATCTCGTTGAATAATATAAATAAAGGAAAACCAACTCTAACTGTACCGGATGAAAAAATGACTATTACTGTTAAAGTCGCATAAAATTAGAAGAACACTAACTCTATGTCTATTAGGTGGAAAACATGACTATTTCTATTAAGATGAAAAAAAAATTAAAGAAAAACTAACTCTATCTCTACTAAGATGAAATAAAACTAAAGAAATACTAGTTTATCTCTATCGAATGAAAAGAATGATTTTTTTTGATTAATATCGAAAATAACCGTAAGGATACTAATTCTCTCTTTACTACTTAGATAAAAGAAATGATTGTTTCTATTAAGATGTAATAAAACTCAATGGGCAATACAATAAAAGTTGTGGGAAAAGCTTTTTAAGTTCATCAAAGAGAAGAATTGTTGTATACTCGTTTGTCGAACGACTCTGAATTTTTCTAGAATCCTTCTTATTGATGCATATTGCTTGTGTCTATTTTTATTGTTTTTGTCAGTGTATTGTAAATAAGACTGTCACAATATCGACAGCTAAAAGCTCAACGTTGAAAATTGATGTTGATAAAAGAACTAAGAGTTGTGACGATAATTTTTTATGCAGAAAACAATGAGAAAACAATTTAATATATTTGAGAACACTGACGAATCCATTTGGAGCTAATCAATATTCTTTCTCAATATAACGGGATAATTTTATGTAGATTATGAAACGGACGAGAAGGTGTTCTGTATTTTTAAAACTGATTTTTGAATTCACGAGAAAGCATTCGACAATTAGAAGAACGACAGAGAACGCGTTCATCAGTTCGAAGAATCCATTCTCAAGCATTTCTAGAGAGAAGATCAAAGAAAGCATTCTCACTTTGATGAAATCTGTTCCTGACCGTTCCAAAAATGAATGGTTCAGAAAGCTTTCTCTTCAGATGAAGAATGGTTTTTAACTGAGAAGAAACCATAGCATAAAAACGTGGAACAACAAAGAATGGGTTCCTTCAGATGTATAACTTATTCTTGTCGCTCATGAACGCATTTGCCAAACTATAGAACGTGTTCTTCGTAGGAAAAGTAACTTTTCGTGTTTTGCGGAATGCGTTTACTTCAGTTTTTTTCCATGATTATTTTTCACTGGATATACACGGAGGAATACGACGGTATACAGAGAAAAAACCGACCGTTTACAATCTTCATATACGAAGTTCGTATACGGTCACGTTGATAGACGATCGTAATACTGAGTCATGTAAACCGTGGAAATATGGTCGTATACAGAGAAATATGGAACATATATGCGCGTTTACGGGCGTATACGAACTCTGTAAACGTCGACCTGGGACGGTAATAGTAATGACTAGATAGGTGAATTACTTTTCCACATCGTCCTCAAGTTCGACAGAAGAAATATATACTCTATTCTGTTTCTGTAATCCATTGATTTGTACACTTTATGTTAAAGATTGAAAAAATCGTCTTCGTCGACGAAACATCACGTAAATTGAATGAAAAAATAATATGGAAATAATTTCATGGAAGAGTATTGAATTATCTCAAACTTATTAGTTGTGGTCGTTTCGCATAATTATCTTTATTACTCTTTCCCAGTAACAATCTGTGATGTTCATGATAAAAAAATCACTTTAAACCTTTTTTTTCACGATCAATTCGTATTAATACTTTGTGCTGAATTTCAAATTCTTTAGTCGATTCAAAAAGATTGATTTACATGTATAGTGTGGTGGCTGTGTGAAAGATAGATAGAACAAAGTCTGGGAAGTCATTTACAATTAGGAATAAAATATCTTGATCAAGTGACAACTACGTTTTCTCAATTCAACTGAAAGAACATTGAGATTAAGATCTTACATATATATATATATAATAGATAGTATGTGCCGATAGTTAATATATACCAATACGTTAGTCATAATTCGAGATATAGCTCCCGATGTTATTCTTACTCAATTGAAAAAACTTGAGTATCGTTTATTGTGGTCAGAAAAATATATATGATTATATGTGAAGATAGACTGCTCTGGTAAAGTTCACAAATTCACGATCAATATAATACAAGAAACAGGTTTACCGCTGTTATTAAGTATAACTTCACTAGAATTGAATATTTCTATCGATGTTTAGTGGATTCATTTGGGAAAATGTGCTTGACTGTTGTGTAACAAATACTGACTGGTGAGCAAATACTAATGATTCATATAACTTTTAGATATTAGAAGCATTTCTTAAATCAGCTTGAAACTCCAGAAAAAAATAAGATTCGTTATTACAAAATAATCTACAGAAAATAATGCATTTTAATGACAATTTTTCTATGACTCACACTTCCCATGGAATTAATTTTCAAGAAACTGAAAATTGTGGTTAAAACTTAAATAAAGGAAAGTTTACAATTATTGATTTGCTTTTACTGAATTTCTTCTTTTACACGAAGTCAAATTTCCGATTTATTCAAAATGAATACGGTTCATTTTTCTCAACAAAAAAATTAATTCGATTGTTTAAGAGAAAATGCGCAGATTTCAGATTGATTTGCTTTAATTATAGCTCGAATAATTAATATTGATTTATTATTTGAATCTTGATTAATTTTTATATTGGATGATGATCGATTTCTTATTATTAATGTTGTATTACTATATCCACTATTAATAGTTAATTTAACTGATACAATTTGTTTATCTTTTCGATTTGAAATAGTTACATTTACATTAAGATCTTGTCCATATGTTGGTGTTTGTCGAGTAGCTGTTATAACACTAATTATATTAAATTTAACATCAGGATCATTTCCTAAACTTATTTTTTGTTCACTTTGTTTTGGTGTATCTATTAAACGACTTTGACCTAAAGTTATACCTGTTGTTACTAAATAAAATGTTATTGTACCAGCTGGTAAAAATTCTGATGGTCGTATAATAAATGTACGTTGAAATAAACCAGAATTAGTACCAGTTGATAAATATATTGTTGTTTCAAGTGTATAATTAAATGATATCATAACTGATAGAAATGGAAATGTTTTAATAGATTTTGGTAGAAGATAAAATTCACGTGTTATATTATACGAATAACTACCGAAATTCGTTGAATCTGCTTTGAATGATATCGATGAAGATGTATCACTCATAGCACCTGCCATATATTCTACACGTTGTGTATCCATTGAAGCTGGTGCTCGTATAGAAGTTGAAGTTAATGGGACACTACCAGTAATCAATTGACTTTTTGTAATTTCATAGATGCGTTTATGTTCATTATTAATATCAGCTAGAGCTCGAAGAGTAGCAGCTAGAACAAAAGAAATTAATAAATCAATGACATATAAGAGAGTCAAACTTTACATTGATCATCAATAACGCTAACTTCATATCTTGGTGTCCACCAAAGACCACGAGTTAAATAAGTCATATTAGTTTTTGTTATAGTTGGATTATCTAATCGAACAGATAAAATCATTCCATCCATTAATGGATCTGTATTAAATTCAATTTGATCACGTGACACATAAATATATCGTGATGAATTATATTTAATTAATAATGAATAAGGATCAATTAATTTTGCTTTTAATGCTTGATTATTTTCATATTTATTAAGACGAATATAAATATCAGTATTACGTAATTCTTCATTTGAATTATATAAATCTTGTTCAATTATTTTTTGACCAGGAAAATCAATTGTTCCCCTGATGAATAAAAAATATAATTAAAATTTGATTGAAAACAATATATCCGCACTCACGGTACAATAGCATTATATTCTTGATCACTAAAATATGTTTGAAAATATCCATCTTGAACCGAAATTTCTTGTCGAACTTGACCAACAGATGTATAAAAATTAAGTTGTAGAGCGCAAATTGTTGTTAAAAACAAAATAATAAGACAAATTTGAAATAACATTGATTCTTTTTTTTTTATTGCTTTTTAATAACAATCAGTTTTACATTACTCTATTATAACAATTATTCAAAAAGCCTCTCGTTAATAATTCATCGAAAGTATGGATTTGATGATTATTATAACAATGAATTAATGTTTTTTTTTTGTTGTTTTTCTACTGCAAATATACAATGGTATATATATAATAGATACATTTGTCCTTGTTTCAAAACAAAAGAAAAAGGTCAATATTTAATGCAAAAACCCTGTTCTCCTTCCTACCTATTTACATGTTTTATTATTTGACAAAGAATATTTTTATACTTCGTTGTCCAAACATAATTAAATAATGATACGATATCAAAATAAAAGAAAAAACTTAAAACCTTGACAGATCAATTACCTATACGTGATGTTTGGTTGTATTTCAGAATACAACTTAATATTATTTTTCACTAATTTTAACTAAATATTTATATATATATATTTACATACTGAAAGAAAAGAATGATACTCAAATATGTAAACACATTACAAAAAGAACTGGTATAAATAATAATAATAATTATAAAATAAAAGGAAGATTAAAGTTTATTTCTTTTGTATAATCTTGTATCTTCCTCTTTTATCGAGCATGTAATGATGATGGAGCACGAGTTGTATGATATTTCTTTCGATTACGATCGGAATTTGATGAATCACCTGGTTTACCTGAATCAGTAAGTCTTTTCTATAAATTAAAATAAAAAAAAATTAAATTAAAATACGTAAAACAAAAAAAAAAGAATCTTTTTTCTTTTGAAATCAACCTTTGCATCTAATGGTATAAATGGAATTGAATCAATATTACAATGTTCTTTTTGTACATTGTCTTTTCGTTCAATCATCATTAGAGCAATATCAATAGGTAATGTAAACCAAATCATATGTTTATATTTCTCTGGAATATTTAATGCTGGATCAGATGTATAATCAATTGAATCAATTGCATAACGTAAAGCATTAGCAGCAAGTACTTTTGCTTCACGAAACGGATTCTTTAAAAATTAAAACCAAATGAAAAAAGAATTTATTTTTATTCTATTTAAATTATAATTTTTTTGTTTTTTTACCGATAGAACTTTCTCTTCACGTGATGATATTGCATCTTTTTTATTACGATAATATTGCATTTTACCAGATTTATATGTTATATCTTCAAGACTTGATGTAGCTAATTGAAAACCACTACGATGAGTCCATCCAGCTGTAGATGGATTATAAGTATACTAAATAGAAAAAAAAAGTCTATATATATACATCTATTTTTAAAAAAATTTCCATCATTAACTAATGGTAGAAATTTCCATCCTTCTGTAGCAATAAATTGAACAGCATTAAGAACATATTCAATATCATCATCATTGGTAAAATATGCTAAATTAAGACGTGTGAATCCCGGTCTGAAAAGAAAAAAAGTTAAAATTTTATTAAAATTAAAATGAATTCAAAATTTCCTATTAACTTCATCATCATTGTTCGAACAATTTGATCGCTTCCTCGAGCTCTGAAAATAAGAAGATAAGTTTGTTTTTTTTTAATTTTTATATTATACAATTCAAAAAAACTCACTCAATATCTTCTGTCATAAACAAACAATAAACATCTGTTTGTGCATCATCAACATTTAATAAATCAAGTGCATATGGTCCAGCACAAGCACAACCTGACCGAACTTGTATACCAAATAAATCATTTAATAAAAGACAAACAAAATTATGATGTAAATATTTGCATACACTAGGTACATAGATAAGAAATGAAAATATTGGTAAACGTGGAGCTGTTTGTGAACCAAGAAGAATTAATGTTTTCGTTTTTTTAAAATGTCGATAAAATCGTTTAACTAATTCATTTTCACGTGCTTGCATATAGTTTGCATCAATTGAATCTTTTAATTGAAAAACAAGACCAGCTCGTATACAACCAATTACATCTGGTGTACCACCTTCTTCACGAGTTTCAATATCGTAATTATATTCATGACATGTACGAGTAACGAAATTAACTGTTCCACCACCACATGTTTTAGGAGGTTTTAAACTGAATAAAACCTTCTTAGCAACTAATATACCTAAAAAAAATAAATAAACAAATTATAATATATTGAATAAAAGATAGTTATTTTTTATTCACTTACCAGGTGTACTTGGTCCACCAACAAATTTATGTGTAGAAATAAATATAGCATCTTTATAACTAGTAGGTGATGAATTCATATCAATTTTAACATATGGTGCAGCTGTTGCATAATCCCAAAAAATTAAACCAGAATATGAATGAACAAGTGTAGATATAGTATTAACATCAGTTAGAATACCGGTAATATTACTAGCAGCATTAAATGAACAAAGAATACGTTTATTTATTGAAGAATAATATTGCAAATATTGTTCTAATACTGATACATCAAGTGTACCTTGTTGTGTTGTTGGTATTCGAACCATCTTTAATAAAAATAGAAATAAATAAATGAAGAAAAAAAATATATATATCAAATCAAATTTGTTATCTTACTTCAACATCTTTTTCTTTCCATGGTAAAATATTACTATGATGTTCAAATGCACTAATCAGAACAACTGTATTTTTTCGAATATTTTCATCATGAAGATCAAAAGTATCAACAAGTGTATGAATAGCACCTGTTGAACCATTACCACAAAATAATAAAATATCATGTTCATTAGCATTGACCGATTTTTTGATAATATCACGAGCTTCTTCACGATATTTTGTTGATTGTTGAGCACATAAACTTGTTTCACTATGTGTATTACCATATCTATTGAAAGAAGTAAAAATATTAATAATGATAATAATAATATCTAATGTACTTACAATGGTAATACATGAGTTTTAATATAGCTTTCAATAAATTGTAATGGTCGACCTGATGCTGTATAATCACAATATATCACTTTATAAAAACAAAAGAAATTACCTATAAATAGAGTTAAGAATAAAGTGACATACTTCGTCTTACACCCCAGGGTCCTTGAAAAACATAATCTTTACCAATAATATTTTCTTCAATGTACTGTATAAGTTTAGGTCGAGAAAAAATATTATTATGATGCTTTGTTGGTGAATTATGATTCGTATTTGATTCAATAGCTTGATTAATAGTAGGAAGAAAACCATTGTTATTCGCTGGTGCTCGATAAATATCATTTGAAACTTGTTCATTGGTCAATAAATCTGATCGAATTTCTGATTGTGATCGTTTTTTTGATGGTGGTGACATTGTTGCCAATGTCTTTGAATTTGCTGGACGCCACTGATAATGAATAAAAAAGAATTTCGTTTATATATTTTGATAATCTCAGCAATAAACATCGAGAGCAGCATTGATTAGAAACGCTGCATTTCGATAAAGATTCAAAAAGAAAAAATTTCAATTAGAAAATCGATTCGAAAAAAAACAAAAAGGAAAATATTGAATCGATATTCATATCAAAATTTCTTATTTTTTTTTTTTGCTTGGTAAAAAGCGCTATAAATAATTTGTTTTAAACATCTTTTCACCTCAAATTCATCGTCGTCTTGACTGTAGAATTCTGGTGAATCAGATTCATAACAGCTTGATCCACTATTAAGTCGTGGACGTTGATCATGACTGCCTAATGACCATTGACGCTTTGAACGACGATGACGAATTTGTCTAGGTGATTCAAATGACATGACCATCGATGGTATAGAGTTAGTACTTCCAAGACTATTATTAATGGTTACATAAGACACAACATCGAGCTTCGTATTGGATAGTGTACGAATGATGGGTCGAAACACTTCTGAATTTTTTAATAAACTACCATCCATCCATGCATTCGGTGAATCTATTGACGTTATATTAATCGGACTAGAACGTGGAATTTGTTGCTTTTGTTGAACAGGAGTTGTCACTAGTGGTGAAGATTGTGGCACTAATTGATCAGTTCGATATACTTGCTGTGGTTTTTGTTGTTCTATTGACTGTTGTATATATCTGGCAGGCGTAAGAGTAGGATTTGAAAAACTAGGTTGCATGGAACGTAATTGATTGAATTGGTAAAACAGCATATTAGCTTGTCGTTGTTGAGCCTGCATTGCTCGGTGCTGCTGCTGTTGTTGTTGTTGATGATGATGATGATGTGGATGCATCGTAAATACCTGTAAATAATAAGAATATTTTTCTATGAAAAGTATTCTTGTATTGTAATTGTTATCATACCTGTGCCGATGCAAATGGAAACATGTTTATCACAGAAGCTGATTATGATTTCTATCTAAAATATGATGATTTTATGTTGTATATCCTTATTGAAAACGATGATTATTTTGTTGATATTATGAATGGTGAAATTAGCATTATTAGTGAGAAATACAGCAAAAAACAATGTATAAACGTAAAAGAACAACCTTGGTATTCTTTTCGCATCGTTTAAAGTGTTTACAAAACATGTGTACGAACATGAAGTACGAAAAATATATGATTATATACATTTATACTGTCCATTTTATTTCTCTTTTTTGGAATACATCAAGTAAAAAAAATATTTTGATACTTATATGAATAACAAAATCAAGCGTCATAAAAAACACGAAAACAACAGGTATTATTAATAGGGATGTGTTTTCTAATCTTTAATACAAAAGAATTAATCGAGAGAGAAATATCTTAATATTTATAAAAATAATATGAATATAATTTTTAATAATACATAATAAGAATGACTAAAATATCAAATGATCATACCTACATCTTTTTCATTCTTATATATTAATATCTCAATTTTAAAAAAAAAAACGCAAAGTTAATTAAGAACAAAAAATAAGAACCTTGAATTTTAGTAAGAATACAGCAGTTTTTTGTTTTCTCTTTTTCATGTATATAGCTTAGCTTTGATGTATAAAATCGATGACGATCAAGACACTAATTAAGTCTGTCATAAAAATAAGAATGTGACAAAAATATATTTCGTATATGTAAACTATGTTGACCTTCAATATGATGTGTAACATATAGTAACAAAAATAATAAGGACGAAAATGAAAAAAATTTCATATTAGTTTTTCAATGAATAATCAATACTGTATATATATTTTTTTTTGTTTTAGTTCAACAAAATAAACTTTGAAATACAATTATTGTTTATTTCAAGATTTTTTGATGTAACTATTAAATATTTTAATTACAATTCAACATCTATACAAATAATAATCAGTCTGCATCTTACCTATTTAGTGCCTCATTATAGGTATTTTGTCAGGGGTTTTTGTCATGATGTGTGAGTTTTTGACATGGTTATTTATAAATTTATGAAAAATGATGAGTGAAGGAAAAAAACAGAAGAAGAATATGATAAAAATTTAGAATATAATCAACTTTTTGATCAATTTTTACTACATTCAATATCACAATAATAGCAATACATTTATATAAAACCTCTTCTTTAAATAACTATATGACTTTTGATAACACTGTATCTTGATATTAAATCGATAGATATTAATTTATACAATTACCTGAACTTGTAAAATAATTTTCTTTTTAGTGTTGTAAAATTCTAGGTATGACGAATCGTTGATCAAGATAAAGAGTTATGATGATTCAGAAAATAAATGAAATATAAACACACATTGATATTTAAACGAATATTAGTTTTCATTTTTAAAATATTTTTTCTATGGTGTCTTTCTTTTCTAATATATATGTTATTTCTTAGAGAAAGAGGAAAAAAATAGGTGGATGATAACACACAAAAAAGGGTCATCATAGAATTTTGCTGCATTTTCTCTTCTCTTTGCTTTTTAACGTTCCGCTCGATGCATTTATTAGTTGATATAAATGAATGTGACGTTGTGGTTTTTTTTTTTCTTTCCTCTTTCACTGATGTATCTCTATGTACTAATGATAACGTCGTCTGTGTCCTAGAATATTGTAAAAATATAGAAGAAAATAATAAAATATTCTTTTTTTTTCTAATGTATACAAGAGAAATCGAAGAAGAAAAAAAAATAGATGAATTTGTTCTTTTTTTTTTCTTTGAAGAAATTAAAAGAGTGCATAAGAAATCATGAATATCCGAATGATTTAGCCAATTGAAGATCTTGTTGAAGTCGAAACCGTTTTATTGAACGACGTTGAAGACGACGTAAACGTCGAGCTTCGAGACGTAATTGTCGTTTTTCTTCTTTTGATTGTTCGTATTTTCGACGAAGCCAACTATATATATATGATGGAAAATAAAAAAAAACAAGAAATTTATTTTTTCTTTTGAACACTAAACGAAGCAAAGAAATTTTACCGATTAAATGCTCGATGATCGTTTCGAGGATTAGCATTATGAATCGATGAAGACGATCCACTGGATGCCATTGCTTCTTCATCTTCAGCTTGTAATTTTTTAAATTCATTTGCAACCGTTACTTCTCGATTTTTACGTTGAATCCATTCCTTATATTTTTTTTCTCGTAACTCTTCTAATTCTGTTTCAGATTTCATTCGACGAGCCTTAGAAAAATAAAATTATATCAAATATAAATAAAATTTTATTATGAAATGAATAATTGTTACTTCTCGTTCTTCGTTTTCCATACGTTTTTCTTCATTGAATCTTCTACGTTCAGCATCTTTATCACGTATCCATTCTTCAAATCTTGTTTGTGCTTCAGCTAATTCAGCTTTTCGTTTTTCTTCAGCCTATAATTTAAATATTACTTCTGAATGGTCTTTATATCAAATTCTAGATTATTATTAAGATGAAACATAGACTTTACAGAATATATTTTTTTTGTGCACTATAAAACCCTTGCAAGTATTAAATATATAGAATTAAAAAGAAAAGACTATCAAGATTTATTTTGTTTTATTCCCAAAACTCTTATTATCAATTATAGTGATCACTTACGAATGAACGGTTCGAAGTGATTTGTTGCTTTTAGTCTCATATTTTATCCAAAAGTAATAGACCTATAGATTAGGAAAAGTCCAAGATTATATAGATCCATATTCTGATTGGACTGAGATAGAAAATTTTTACTGAAATCTCCCTGTAGGATCATGGTTTTCCAGCAAAATCATATTTTCAAATTTTAATATGAAACTTTGCACATATCGAAATCGCAACTAGACTAGTTTGTACGAAAATTTTCAGAAATATTCCACGTAGCATAACAGAGATATGAGTTTTTTTGAAAATGTCTACGTTCTATGCAATACCTATAAAAAAAAAGTGCTTCTATTTTGAAAAATTCATATCTCAGTTATGATACGTGGGATAATTTTGAAATTTTTTGTATAAACTAGCCTAGTTGTGATCTTGATATGTGCCAAGTTTCATACCAACGTTTGAAAATATGATTTCGCTGAATAATCAGGATTCTACAAGAAGATTTCAGTAAAAAATCTCTATCTTGGCCAAAATCAGAACATGAGCTCATATCATCTTGAACTTTTTCTAGCCTACAGATCTGCTAGTTATGCATAAAATATGGAGTCAAAAGTGATGAATCACTTCGAACGGTTTCCTCGTTAGGATACTAAAATATTATTATTTGAAAACGGAAGATGTGACGTATTATTTTTGTTTATTGGAATCTTTCTATCGTATCAACTTTCTAAGAAATTTCCATACTATTTTATGCAAGACAGATGCAATCTAAAACTTTCATACATTTCCTTATCTCAGTTTATTTTTGAGAATTTATAAAAAAAAAAAAAGAAAAGGAAAATTTAAAAAATAGTTTTGTTTATCTTACTTCTTTTTTCTTGCGGCGTTCCTCCCGTAATTCCGCTTGTTTTTTTTCAGCTGCTTTTTGACAACGTTGTTCATATGTAAGAACATTTGGTAGTCTTTATTTTTATAAATATTATGATAAATAAACAGAAATATGAGAGAAACTTATACATACGTAGTATTCAATGGTTCTAAAGATCTTGAAACACCCGCACTAATAGAAAAAAAATTATGAAATCATTCATAAATATATATATATATATATATATATATACATATATATAGATTTATTTTTTAATACCTTTTGGCTCTTCGTTCATCATTTGTTGCCGATTTATTTTTATTATCAGATACTGACTTTGATGTTGTGCTATTAGAATTGATAGTTCGTTTTCCACTATCAGATGATTTAGGTCTAGTTGATGATGAAGAAGGACGATTAGGTGTTTGAGGTTTAAATGGATCTTTTGATTGTTTTGCTTCTGTTGGTCTTGTTGAACCAAATTTAGTTTTTGTATTTTCTGACGAAGTTTTTTTATTTTTATCATCGTACTCGTCATCATCATCACTATCGAGTTCATGTCGACGTCTTTCTGTTGAATCTTTGGCTGTATAATCATCTTCATTTTGTAACTCAAATCCACCATTAATAGCAACAACCATTGATTTTTTAGATGAGGATGATGATTTTGTTGTCATATCAGAAGTATCATGAATATCAGTATTATTGTTTGATTTTGATTTTAATGATGATAAATCTTTGAAATAGAAAAAAAAATTTCTTAAACTGTAGAATGAATTGATAGATAGAATATTGTTGAAATTGTTCTTTTAGCAAAATAATTGAAGTGAGGGTCAAAACAAAATTAAGACATTTTGTTTTATCGATAGTTTTGCTCGAACATGGCCTGTAAACAACATCAAATAGTAATTTCTATAGCTCTCAGAATAGACTACAAGGTTGAGATGTAAATACTTTCTTAAGTTCAATTATTTGTATTTTTATTGCATAAGCCGTGTTCCTGTGGTGGACAAAATTTTGTGATACTTTTAATATTTTAATAATTTTTTTTTGATCGTCAATAATCATTAAAACCTTTTGAATAAACCATTCAATCCAGAATTGAATGGACTGTATTTTAGTATAAAGTACATTTTGGACATCATTATTCTTAATTAATTAATAGTAATTATATTTATTTATTAGTTAACAGTGATGGAAAAGTCTTCACTTTTACCACTTAAGCACGTCGTTAGAACGAGTGTTGAAAATTAAACAAAACTTGGAAAGAGAAGCAACTGTTTTCAATGTAATTCATTCTTACATTACTACAGAGATTTTAGTTTTCATGAATGACTTTAACGATATCTTAATTCTTTTTCTTCGACAAGACACTTTATCAAACTAAAATTCCTGTAGCAATGGAAGACTGCATTATATTGAAGACAGTTACTTCTCATTTCAAGTTTTGTTTAGTTTTCAATGTTCTTTCTAATGATGTACTTAAATATTAAAAGTTAAGACTTTTCTATCACTGTTAACTAATAAATAAGTATAATTATTATTAATTAGTTGAGACTAATGATGTCGAAAAAAACACTTTATATCGAAATATAGTCCATTCAATGTAGAATTGAATAGTTTATTCAAGAGTTTTTAATGATTATTGACAAGCAAAAAAGTTATTAAAGTATTAAAAGTACTGCAAAATCTTGTCCATCACAGGAACACAGCTCATACAATAAAAACACAAATAACTGAATTTAAGATAGTGTTGATATCTCTACTTTGAATTCTATTCTGAGAGTTGTTGAGATTATTATCTGATAACATTGATGGACCATGTTCGAGTAAAACTATCGATAAAACAAAAGGTATCTTTAACTGTTGCCGTTCAATTCACATGAAGAAAATTAAAGATGGGATTCATTTTCAGAACTTAAGAGAGCAATAATGAGACTAGCAGGGGAAAGAGGTATTCAATAAAAAAAAATTTTCTTTTTCTTTTATTCATCTAATGTATCCATGTACGAAGCCGTCAACTCCAACGTTTTAGTGTTTAATACTCTTTGTTTCAAAAGTTAGTTAATACCGACTTTTTGCCACTATCATATTTTTATAAGAAAAACAACACAATAAAAAGATACTCTGTAAAAGTTGTACATGTTATCGTTGCAACAAATCGTTTGAATTTTTAATCAGTTGTACTAAGAGAAAGAGAGAATTAAAAACTGAACTGAATGAACTATTTCAGTATAACACAGTGTTGACTGGCTCAAATTTTATAAAGTCAACACGAATGAAAAATGGCTCTTTTAATAAATCTAAAATGTTCATTTAATAATAAATTGGCAAAAAATATTGAAAAATAAATAGTACCTTCAGGGCGAAACGGAATTCACGTTGTTCTCTTTACACAATAATTTTTGATTTTTCAATAGGAAAAAAAAACATTTTTGGAGGTTTTCATTGCTATGACAAAAGTGTAAAGCAAAATAAATACGACATTTGAAATCAACGTCAAAAACTACGCTGAATTAAATGTCCTTTAGAGAAGTTTTTTCTCTTCGAAAAATTCATCTGTCATTTCATATGATTGTATTATATTAAAATTTTGACCTGTGCTTACGAGAGGCCAGTCTTTTGAAGGAAAAAAATTTCTCTAAAGTACACTTCATTCTACGTAGTTTTTGACGTTGATTCCAAATGTCGTCTTTATTTTCCTTTACAATCGTTTTATGGCAATGAAAACCGCCAAAAGTATTTTTTTTTTCTTTTAAGAAATCATCAAAAATCACTATGTAAGAGAGAGAGAGACATTAACTCATTTCACCCTGAAGGTACTATTTACTTTTCAATATTTTTTTACTATTTTGTAGAGAATAAAAATTTACATAACATATATAAAATTTAGGTTACAACTTGCTGATTCTGAATCCCGACAAGAGATAGATTATTATTACATGAACATTTTAGATTTATTGAAAGAGTCATTTTTCATTCATGTTGGTCTTATAAAACTTGAGTCGGTCAAAACTCTATTATACTGAAATAGTTCATTGAGTTCAGTTTTTAATTCTCTCTTTCTCTTAGTGTAACTGATTAAAAATTCAAACGATTTGTTACAATGAAAACATGTACAACTTTTACGAGGTATTTTTTTTACTGGCTTTTTTTCTCATCAGGATATGATAGTCGTAAAAAGTCAGTATTAACTAAATTTTGAAACAAAGAGTATTGGATACCAAAATGTTGGAGTTGGTGACTTCAGACATCAATGCATTAAATCCATACAAAAAAAGAAAATAGTTTTATCGAGCGTCTCGTACACTTGATGATTTCATGATTGCTTTCTTAATAGCTTAACGACTGTTTTTTTTTTTACAAAACGTAAAATCTATTTGCACCAATGAGTAAGTAGAAAAAGAAAATTTCTTTCATCTTTCGATGGAGATAATTATTCCTCTTGTTGAAGATATGGAGATTTTTATGTTGATTTAAAACTTTATAAGAAAAAACTTTATGTAAAAGTTGTAAGACATTTGTTTGTGCTTTTATATTTGTCATGAAAGATAGGCACGATATGAAAGAATAAATGCTGCACAAAAGTAAGTTGATTTTTATGAATTTATAAGTTTAATATTGCATAAAATTTTTCTGATTATTTTCTTCTAAAAGTAGTAATACCTTCTCGTGTTGATGAACTATTAGTTCTATTTGGATTTGTTGATGACCATCGTTCACCAGTCGGTGGGACACCATGAAATTGCATTGCTTTAAGTTGTTGTAATAATGTTGGACCTTCTTTTGGTTCTGTATCATTAAGTGGTACAGTATACTCGAGTGAATTATTTTCATTTTCTGGGCTAGTTGCACTAATTGATGACTCTTCAGCAACAGGTGAAGCAGATGGTTTAGCTAAAGAATCTGTATTCTCATGTTCTTGTGGGTCCTGAATAATATCAACTGCTTTTACAACAGCATCAAATGAAACACGTTGTCGATGTTTTAATTCAGATGGTGTTTCGTCATGTTCAAATTCTTGATTAGCTTTTTTAAGTCTTTCTTGAATAGCAGTTTCATAATCATAATTATTTCCATTATCAAAATGTATTTCATCTATTCCACCATAAAATATATATTGTTTTAATTGTAAAGGAAAAAAAACAAAAAACAATGCTGTTTACCATCATCCATATCATTATAATCTTGATCAAATACTTCAAATTGATAAGGAATATGATCAATAATTTGTGATAAATCATCAGCTGAATTAGACATCGCATTTTTTTCTCTTAAGCTAATATTTGCATACTGTCGTTTCCAAGCAAGTAAATCCGCATCTAAATTATGCAAGTATTATTTTAGAAAAAACAAAAAAAAAAATCTTCAATATTAAATAAAAACCATCTAAATGTTGACCAGGTCGCGGATGAGAAGAATTTGTATTATTAGTAAAGGATCGATGGTTTTGTGTTGATAATGTCGAATCATCAGACACTGATGGAATTGTGTGATCGTAAGCTGAAAATGTACTTTTGGCCGTAGCCATTGTTATTTTATATGATCATTATCTGTATATACGTATAAATATAAGAGAATTTTTTTTTTTTGTTTTCTTAAATACTCATATTCGAATAGAAACACGACACATACAATAAGAAAACGGATGCCAAATAAATAAAGTTAACAAATAGTCCTTCAACAATAATTATATTAAAAAAATTGCATATAGAAAGAAAGAAAAAAAAAAAAGAAAATTTAACCTAATAATAAATCTGCCCGCTCGGAATTGCCATATCAATCTCATATTTAATGTCGTTTCATGACAACAATCTTATTGATTTTTAAACGAAATCTCCTTTTCATTAAAAGAATTATCTATATGAAAAAAACTTTTATTAAAACTTATTCTTTTTGATGAAAACAAGATAACATTTAATAGATGTCACTTTTTTCAAAAATCTCTTCAATTGTTGCTTAGCAAACTTCGAACATTGAAGAAATCAAATGGTTCATTTAAAAACATGTTATAATGTCATTGAAACTTAAAGAAAAAAAAGAAAAGAAATTAAAATGAGTGATTTGGTAATAGAATCCCAATCGCCATCTTCATATGGAATAGCACCACCGATAAGTGATGAAGCTATGGATGCTAAACGAAAAGCATTAGAAATTCTTGTGGCCAAATCAGAACATGATCGAATACCAGTACCAAACCATCTTTTACAATCAAGTAAAACAAAAAAAAAATCAATATTTAGAAAATTAATTTTTATTTTTATTTATTAGAACTTTTTGTTAAATTAAAACGTAATAAATTGGTTGAAGTAACGCCACATGAAATACATTTTGATGGTTTTGAAGTAAATCAAATTCAAACACGTGAATTACATATATTAAATCGTTCATCAGAAGTTTTACGTGTTGATATTATTCCACCACAAACATCAGTTTTTCAAATTGATTATAAAAAACCTCAACGTCTTGTACCAGGTTTTTCTATTCATGTTAAAATTATATTTAAACCAAAACAATGGCAATATTATCATGATGCTATACGTATACATACACCAGAACGTGATCATCATTTAATAATACCAATACATGCTTATCCAATTATATTATTAGATGGTATTCTACCAAATTCATATCAATTTGCAAATACACCCATTGGACAAGTGTATGTAGGTGTTTATAATTAATATATCTATCTAAGTAAAAAATATTTTAAAATAGTGTAACTAAAACATTTTCATTTCAATCATCAGCACCTATAGAATTTCAATATCGTATTGAAATTCTTAGTCAAGATCCAGCTTTAACTATTGAACCTATGGAAGGTAATAATAAATGGGAAATAAGAAAAAAAGAATATCAATAACCAAAGAATAAACTTTGTTTGTTTGTTTGTTTATTTTTTCAAAGGTACAATTAATCAATTAAATGTTACAAATATAACTGTAACATATGCACCAACAGCATTTTGTACATCACGTTTATCTGTTGCTATTATTGTATCACAATTTCATATACAACCATTTCTTTGCACATTTATTGGAAAATGTTTACCGGGTCTTGCAAGGTAAAATTTCATTTTTTTTCCTTCTGAATGAATAAAAACGAATGTTTTCTTTTTTTTTGTGCAGAGAATTAGCTAAAAAAACTTTAGGTATGAGTGGTCAATTTTCAACAGATAATATTAATTTAGTAATAAAAAAGTCTTCATCAACTATCTTACCAATACCATTAACAACAACAAAACAAAAACTAATTAAACAACAAATAGCAGAATCTACTATTGATAATGAATTTGAACGAGATGGTCTTCGTATACCGAAAAAAATTGATTCAACATGGGCTGTATCGAAAGTACTTTTACAAAAAAAAGGAAAAGTTGCTTTAAAAGATTTAAGAAGATTAAATGAATTAACATCGGATAATCAACGTGGACTTAATCGACAAAAAAAAGTAAGAAATATGAATCAATTAATTGAGATTTTAAACTAGTTTCCTTTCATTTCATCAAAAGAAGAAAAAAATCGATATATTATTAATAATATTTTGAATAGTTATACTTAATTCTCCTATAGAACAAAGGCTCAATGAACTTTTAATTTGTTTGGAAAGTTAAAAGTTTGAAGATGAGCTTCTATTACGATCTATTATTTTTGTGTTGTAGCTATACTTTCATTAGCTGACAAATATAGAAATATTCAACAATTGATAAATTGAAATTTTCAATTTGTATGACTAATTTTAGAATTTCTATAATGGTTTTTATGGAATCAGATATTGACTGTTACTTCTATTCCGGCCTCACACTATTACATAGACAAAATAATGAGTTTTTTACACTACCTTTTCACATCGAGATACTCATCTCTCTCGACTACTTGGTGCATCCTGGTATGACTACGAACAGTTATAGAAAATACAATATTTTAGTTAAGAAATTGCTGAGATTTGGAAATGTTAGAGAGAATAATTTTGCTGAACGACTTCGTCATAGAAGCTTGTACGCAATTCAGAAGTGAAAACAGACATATTTTAATTATCTTGACAGAAATATAAAGTAAGCCTGTGATTACAAAATATAAGAGTCTCTCAATTTCTAAGAGATGAATAATTCAGATCTTATGAGTGTTATAAAAATCGATATTGTACTATGTCATATTAATTTTATTATCGAATTCGATAAAATGTTCAAGTAATTTGAACTAATTACAGTTGATCTTTGTTAAATGTTTTCATTTTTCAGTCAAGGATATGCCCATAGTTCTGTTAAATTAATAAAAATTAAATATTGTTTCGTTTCTGTACTGCATATAAATTCATAACGGAAAGAAATCTAACAGAATTATATGATTATATGCCAAATTTCTATTCTACAGTTCTCCGACGGCTATCTCAAAATGATAAAATAGTAAAAAGCAATGAACTCATCTATCCAATTTCATAGATCGGGTTTTTTTGTACTCAGGTTGTACACAATGGACTTCTATTCTGTAGACGGAGGGTTTATATATATAAATGATCGCAACTTTCGTATTCAAGAATATGAAGTTTTCACAGAAAAAAAATAAGAATAAGATTATTATTAAACGAATAAATATATTAAATAGATTATTTAATTTATTTTATGTAGGAAACAATTTTTTTACAAGATGTTAGTCGTATTGAAGATGAAGAACAACGTAATAAAATTCGTTGGCAAACAAAACTTGGTTTTGATCCATTATCTCAAACCGAACGTGAAAATATTCTTGCTAGTAGACAAATATCTTGGGATGAATATTCAGTTTGTTATTTTATATTATCTTTAATTTTTTTTTTCCTAAATCTTTTATTTAATATAGATTCGTATTGGTCATCCAATACCTGATGATGAATATATTCGAGATACAGTTAAATATTCTGAACAACGTACTATTCGATCACTTGATATGGTAAAATAAAAATAAAAATCTTAATGTTTATATTTAAATAGAAAACAAACATAAACTTTTTTTTTCTTTTCAATAGAAAATTCGTACTGATGCTAAATTTGATCTTCATACAAATGATCTTTGGCTTAATCGTTTACAAGTTCTTGATCGTTTTGCTCAAGCAGCTAGAAAAGTATAATTCAATAGAAATAAAAATCTATAAACAAAGAAAACTGCTTTTTTTTTTCATAATAGGTCATTGTTAAACAACGACTTTCTCGTCATCTTAAAGCTATTAAAACATTTGTTAAAAGTTTTAAAGAAAATAAAACTAGTAAGTTAAATATAATTTTATTTAATTATAAAAAAAATCGAAATTTGTTTTTTTTTTCTTTTTAGATAAGGATATTTATCTATTTGGATATGAATATCTTAAAACTCTACGTGGTGAAACATTAGAAACAGATGGTCATTTATTAATTATTCGAAATAGTTCTATTGGTACATTGCATTTACCAAGAAGTGATGAAGATGAACAAGATAATTCAAATGTAATGATAATAAGTTTAAAAAAAAAATTCTTTTTACTTTTTTTTCTTGTATTTTAATACATTTTTTTTAGAATATTGAAGCTATTAATTCTGTTAGTGCACCACAAATAACTTTTAAACATCGTTATGTATTACCTGTAATGCCATTAACAGTACCCAAACAATATAAATTACTTAATTATCAAACAATTGATTCATCATATATTCGATATGATTATACAACATATAAACTTGCTAGATCATTACGTATTGGAGCTGAAGATGAATTAATTAAATTAGATGAAACATCAATTGATCGAACATTAATAAGTTCTATACAAACATCTGAAAAACCAATGATAATTAGTCCAACAATTCCATCATCTCTTCTTAAAGCACCTATTTATCATCCTCTTACTGTTTTTGTAAGTTTTTATATTGTATAAAATTTTATTTATTTTTTTCTTTTTTTTCATTAAGAATCCAACACCAGGAGTAATGACATATGAAACTCCACTGCCATATTCAGCTATTGATGTAGATAATGCTATTTGTCCTATACCATTACTTGAACGACCTGGATATTCATTAACAAATCGATATCTTGATCGAGAAGTGAGATTTAATAATATAAATGAATAAATATAATTGTTATATAATGTTTTTTTCTTTTTTACAAATAAAAAAACAAAAGGATATTATTCAAGGAACAATGATATGGAAAAATATGAGTAGTACAGGTCTTTCTGCTCTTGCTCAAGTACCTACTATGTCAAATGTTTGGCTTCCAAGATGGTTAGTTAAAGACTTTTTTCTTCATATAATATTCACTGAAAAATATTTTTTTTAACGATAAGAGAAAAAAGCAAATAGTCTTAATATAAGAATTATTAATCACTTAATACGATTAGATTTTTGTTCTGCTTTCTCTCAATAGGATTAGAAAAATTCTAATTATGTAATAATCTTTTTAAATATTTGATTTTATTAGGAATGATCCATTTTCTGAAGATATTTTACCAACAAATTTACCATTACTTCTCAATGAAATGCCTCCATCTGATCGTAGTCAACTTTTAGATAAGTATGTAGATGAATTAAATGATTTCTTTGACTTTCTTTTTTTTTATTTTAAATAGTGAAATGAATGAAGAAACAAAACTTATTCTTACACCAGAAATGATTCGTGCTGAATTTCTTGAAACACATTTTGAAACAACATTAAATGCAAAACAAGAGTAAGTTTTACAGGAAAACAATAGTTTTTTTTAAAATAAATATACTCCGTGAAATAGTGCTATGTTTAAGAGAAAAAAAACGGCGGTATCTTCATTAAAGTAGGTTTAACACGTGTGATTTTTTTCATTAAAACACTTATTTGAAACAAAGTCAATTAGAATTATTTATATAAAATAATTGAAAATGTTTCTACATATATATATATATATAGTTTTTTTTTTTTGTTTTTTTTATTTTGAAATATTTTATTAAAATGAATGTTTGTTTGTTTATTTAGTGTATTTCCTTATGGTGATAAATTACTGGAACCGAACGCATTACTTTCAATATATGGTCGAGAATCTCGGTAAGTTAATTTTTTTTTATTAATAGAATATATATTTCATGATGTGTTTGATAATTATAGAGCACGGCGGGAACAAGAACTTGATTATTTTCAACGAAAAAAATTTGGTCAACTGAGTGACAAAGTGAATAAACGTATGGAAAAATATCATGCTACATCACGGATTGATCTATCATTATTATCTGATCAACAACAGCAAACACAGCCACAACCACAACAACAACAAACGATATTAATCGAGCCATCTCAATAAATAATAGACAAAACGATTTTCTATTCTATATAAAGCAGTGATAATTGTTTTTCCTTTATTATTATTATTTTTTTTCTGTATGAATTTCTTTTTTTTTTGGGTCTTTCCCAACAAAGCCGATGATCGAATGTCATTCTGTCTTCGGAATTAATTGGACAAATAGAATGATTGACTTGCTTGTCTGGCTGTATAGGCAATGATCTCGATGATGATGGGAATGTGCACGGAAATTCTACTGCTGCTCTCTCTTCCGTTATTACAATTGTGGGAAAGAAAAAAAAAAGATCTCGTGATGATGATGAAGATGAACTACATTCTTTTTTTTTTTTTTTACAATGTCTTTCTGTTGTTGTTTACGCTAGTTGTATAGACGACGACGAGAACAGAAGAAAAAAACCGAGAGAAAAGAAAATAAGAGTTCATTCCTATCTCGATAAAATAGCCTTGAATTCTTTGCCTTGTTCCTTGCTTTCGGTGTATGTCGACGCAAAAAAAACAACGACGATGACAATGACTAGTCGTTGTATTTTCACCACCGAATATATATATATATATATATGAGAGGAAAAAAAAATCGAGGACTGCGAAAAAAATAGTAGAAAGAGAGAGAGCAAGTAATCGCATCGTCGGATAAATAAAACTGCTCACTCACATACGCTACACTATCGTCAAGAATAACATCACATAGAACTAGTGAAATAAGAACGAGAAAGAGAAAAAAAAACCAAGAGAAAACAAGTAGCGAACGAGAGACCGAGGTGACAATGATCATGTTCATTCATTTACATCGCCAATAGATGTGAATAATAAAAAAAACAACACGTAGCCATATACAAAAAATATCTTCTTTTTTCCAAGACATAATATGACTAGTAATGAAAATATGACAACTGCAAATACATCTGCTGATATTAAATGTATTATTGTACAGCAAGCATTTACTGGAAAACGTGAACTTAAAGTTACAACAATACCAAAACCACCACCACCTGGTGATGGTGAAGTATTAATTGCTGTCAAAGCATGGTAATCAATAGAATTCTTATATTAAACAAAATTAAAAATGCTTAAATATGTGTTGTTTTTTGCCTTTTAGTGGAATTAATTTTAATGATGTACTTGTGCGTTACGCACTATTAGAAGATACTCCACGACCTCCATTTATTCCTGGCTTTGAATGTAGTGGTGAAATACTTGATATTGGAACAAATGTAACACATGTCGATGTAAGATTAAAAGATTTATAAATTGTTTTTGTTTTTGGTTTTTTTTTTTATTTGGTATCATTGAATTTTATTTTATTATAGCGAGGTGATCGTGTTCTTGTATTAACACGTTTTACAGCTTGGGCTGAACAAATAGTTGTAAAAAAAGATTTCGTATTTAAAATTCCAAAAGAAATGTCATTTCGTGAAGCAGCTGTACTTCCAATAGCTTATCTTACTGCTTATATATTATTATTTGAAATTGGAAATATAAGATCAGGTCAAACATTATTATTTCATTCAGCTGGTGGTGGTGTTGGGGGTAAGTTTTTTTATTTATTTTTATTATTTAATTTATACATATTTAAAAAAACAAAACGAAAAAAAAAAAGCTTTTTTTTTATAGTTGCATTAACACAACTATCAAAACTCGTGCCTAATTTAACAATTTTGGCAACAGCTAGTCCACATAAATTTGATGTACTTCGAGCTCATATACATTATTTATTTGAACATGATATTGATTATACAGAAGATATTAAAAAGTAAATAAAATAAGAAATTTTTATTTATTTATGAATTTATATATATGTCTGTTTTAGAATATCACCTGAAGGTGTTGATCTTATTCTTGATTGTATGGCAGGTGATGATTGTGAACGTGGTCTTGGATTACTTAAATTTAATGGAAAATATGTTATGTATGGAACATCAAGTGTACTCACTTGGGACGTTAAAAATTTATTTGGTATTACTAAAGGAATGACTAATGTATGGATTTTATAATATTTTTTTTGTTTTTTTTAATCGAATTCTTTTTTTTCTTGATCATTTAGTGGTGGCAGAATGATAAAGTAAGTTGTTTACGTTTATTTCAAGATAGCAAATCTATTCATGGTTTCAATTTAATTCAATTACTCCAACGTGGTTCAAATGAAACACGTCGTTATTTATGTGACATAATGCATAAAGTATTTATACTTTATAAAGAAGGAAAAATAAAACCAGTTGTTGATAGTGTATTTACATTCGAAGACGTATATTTTTTTTCATATACATATATATACATATATAATTGTTTTTATTATACAGATAAATAATGCTCTTGGCAAACTAATTGATCGTAAAAATATTGGTAAAGTAGTAATCGAACCATTTGTCAATGCAAAAGCAGAGAAAGTGAAAAAAGTAAAAAAAGAACTAAAATAAAAATAAATTTCTCAAATAAATATTTTCTCTTGTTTAGGTTAAAGTAGGTAGCACATCTGGACATCAAGATTCAAGCTCAACATCTGGCCCTGATGATGATGATGATGATAAGGATCCTGAAGATTTGCGTCAAAGTTCATCATCTAATCAATAATCATTTTTGCCTCTTTATTTATTATTTTATTTATGATATAAATATTTTTATTTCCTATTAAACCTTTTTTTTCTTGTTTTCATCGTTGTTTGAAATGACCCTACTCGTTCTAGTCATATCTTCTCATTTACTTCTCTTTTTTTTCTCTCGTTCAATGTCATTCCATCTTGAATACTGCATTTCTGTAACAAAAAAACGAAAAACTAATAAAAAAAAAAAACAACGTATTCTAAATGATTGCATTTGTGTGAAATCAAAACACTATCTTAATTCATATTTGTTGCATTAGGAAAACAGGAAAAAAAACAGAAAAGGATTTTTACTTTTTTAATAATGATGAAACAACAAGACGAAAAAGTTTATACACAAATAGAGAGTGAAATAACGCATAAGAACAAAACGAAAAAACGTTATCATGTGCATGACAAAAAGAAAAGAAAGAAAAGCTATAAGAAGAAAAGCACTCCCTATATGTGTGTCTATATTTAATTGTTATATAATTATTTGTTGTATGTTGTTATTTTAAGAAGCAATTTGAGTATTGTCTTTTTTATCATCGTCCGGTTTGTTAAATACGTCAGGCAATGGTGGTGGCGTACTCCTAAAAAAAACAAAATCAAATTGATTAAAGAAAAAGCGTATTTCTATTAGCCGAGATTTCTTTTTTTTTAAGGATAAGTGTTAATATTAGATCTCACTATCAGTTATTCGTTCTAGAGAAGTGAATCGAGGATTTTAGAAAAAGCTGATGGCTTGAAAGAAAGATGAAGGGTATTTTTGAACTAAAACACTTCGTTTTTTTTCTCGACGAAAATTTAAGATAAAATTTTTATTGATATTCTGTTAAATATAAAAGATTTTTTTCTTTTATATTATGTGAAATTTGTTTTGTTTGAAGATTGGTTGAAATGAAAATTAATCAATAACTGTCGCATAGTACAGCGACAATTGACATTAATAAATAAATCATTTCTCATTAAATATTTTTATAATCAAATACTAGAAATTCATCAATTATATTATTCATATCCTTATTGTCATTCAAGCTCTGTAGTATAAATAACGGTTTTTATGTTCATTTTCTAACGATTTCAATCATGAAAATTCAAAAAAATAAAAGCTTACAATTCAGCAACGTCAATTGGTTCCCATTCATTTTCATTACCAGTCTTACGGTAACATAAATAAAGAAGAGTAGGAGAATAGGCCTTAGCTACAGCTCCTGATAATCCACAATCAGCAAGTGTTTGATTATCATCATCCATTGGTTGTTTTGTTGAATCAACTATTAAACGTATATTATTTGATGGTACTTTTGTTATACCTTCAATCATTTTTTTTAATTCAAGAACTGTTGATGATTCTTTAGCATCAATAAAGAGTGTAAGTTTTTGTCGACGAATCATCATAAATACATCCATTATGAAGATGATAATTAGAATAAGTAATATCTAAAAAAAATGAATGTTGATACTAATTATATGTGTATAAATGTTTTATTAGGATTTAGAAGATCTTAATTTTATTTTTGTTATGATATAAACAAAGAAAAACTTGTCAATTTCTTAGATGAAAATAAGATATTAGTTTGTACGTACTTAGACTGAAAGAAAAAGATCATTAAGTTTTCGTTCAATTACTCAATCCAATCGTATCAAGCTTTGTTTCCTCTAAGCAACAGCGTCCATTTAGTGCAAAAAAAATAATGTAAAAGAACATACAGATGTCATTACTAGTTGATGTTGAATCATATGAATTTTATTTGCTTGATAATTCGAACATTTTTATATTCGTGAAAAACAAAAAAAGAGAGCAAAAAAAAAATGACAATTTCTCATCAAATAGCATGCTTATTTCGAAACTATTAACATCTATATCAAATCGATTGAAAAATAAAAAAAGTCAACATAATCAAATACGTATTAGTTATTAGTATGACGCATCCGTGAAGAATATTTCGTTTTCTTATTAATAAGAATATGCACGTTAGCGTCTCATATGAGTAAATAAAATATTAATGTATTCTTTTTAGACGAATCCAAAAATTTTTGTGTAATAATCAGCGAAAGAAAAAAGAAAAGAATACAATATTAGTAGTTAAGGTAGGAGGTAACACATCAATGTATTCAGATCACATTGCTTTATCGTTATCATTCATACGTATATGTATCTATGTCGCTTTTCTATTTTCAATAGATTCTTTTTATTTTGTTTACATTTTTTTTTGTTTGTTTTTATATAACTAACGCATCAAGATATAATGCCTAAGTATAATTTTATGATATCAAAAGCGGTTGATCTGGTCGCTCGAAAATTAGCTGGTTTTGATACGGATACAATAGCTCGCTTAACACAAGTTTTAAGTGAAGAAGCACAAATGATTTCTGAAGAACTTCAACATTCAGGTCAAATTGTTGATTCGGATATTTTAGCAGCAAAATTAGAAGGACTTGTAGCACGAATGAAATATGAAATTCGTAATCAGGTATTGTATGTATATATATATATAAATAGAGTGACTCTCAAAATTATTCTCCATTTTTTTCCATTACTGTAAATGCTACCAAGAATCCAAAAATAATGATTTCTGTAGAGAATTTTATTTTTAATACGAATTTTTAAAGATGAAAATAATTGCTAGTTTTTCAAGGATTCTGAAAAACTAAGTTTTTTAGTTTTTAGAATTCTATTTTAATTGTACAAGATGATAGAACAAATAGCTCTCTACAACAAAAACGTCTTCCAGCTCGCTATGACGCGTCATTTTGATCAAGATAGATTAGCTTTAAAGAAGGTACAAAAGTTGGTTTTTTCTGCTATTTCGTATGAAAACATAATTTCTGTGCCTTCTATATGGTTGATGTATTGAGGGCAAAAGATTCCGTAGAGAGCTGAAAGATATTTTATTTTGGGAAATTCAAACAGAATTCCAAGAACTAAAAAACTTCGGTTTTGGTTGTTCAAAGATCTGTATTTTTGGAAAACTAGCAATCATTCTCATCTTCGAAAACTCATGTTAGAAATAAAATTCTCTTCACAGATCACTATTTGAATTTTTATTAGTCTTTACAACCGTGGAAAAAACTTGAAAATAAACCTCGTCAAATAATTTTGAAAGTCACTGAATAAAAATATTTCATATATTCTTATATATTGAATTTTTATTCAAAAAAAGAAGGGTCCTGATCCATCACCACATGAATTTCCTATTTTTAATGTTTCTCACAATCCAAGTGCACCTTATCCTAATCCAATCAATCATCTGTATGACAAACGTTACAAAGAAGCTTATTCAACTTTTATTAAACAAAAGCAACCTCCACCTCCACCTCCACCGCCTCCTGAACCTTCAACACCAACATCACCTATTGCACCATTTCCATCAAAACCAACAAGAAATCCCGAAAATCCTTCACATGGCAATTATCCACAAGGTCAATATCAACAACAATCAAATAAACAAACACAACAATCGGGTAATGTTTTTCCTACTTCTCATCAACCTCCACATATAGGTTGGTCTTATATGAATCCATATGCAACAATGCCTCGTTCACATGCTGCTTATTATCAACAACAAGTTTCGAAGCCAATGCAAACCGTAAAAGAACATTCAGCTACTAATAATATTCCAAAAATACGTCGTTCATCAACAAGTGAAGATTTACATTCACATGGATTATCTCGTTCAGCAAGTAATGATTCATTAAATTATTTGACAGATAGTGGTACAGAAAAAATTCGAGTTCGTGTTATTAATGATAAATCTGCTTCATCATCTACAGATCCAAACATAAATAAATATCCTAATAATCAGTTTAATACAAAAAAATCAATATTAAAATCAAGCAGTGATGAAGATGATGATAATAATAAACAAATGGTAACAACACGAAGAATATATACGACACCAGATACAGAAATAGATAGAGAAACAATACATGATTTAGTCAAAGTTGTTGATAAACAGCAATCAAGTTCAAGACAATCAACAGCATCACCAATGAAAGAACGTATAATTATTATTGATCGACGTGGTCGAAATACACCAGATAATGATTTAAATTCATCTGGAAATGATCGAATTCGTACATTTGAAGTTCGTACATCAACCACTGAAGTACCACCTTCAATACCATCACCGGCACCGCCTATTACTAGTGCAACTCCAGTTCCAACGTCTACTGTATCTTCAAATGGATATGCTTTGCAACAGCCCAATTATTATACAGGCCAACAATTATTTTATCAACAACCGAAGATGTATATGTCCGCACCAACCAATCTATATCCTACCGGAACACCTTATGTTGCAGGTGTTAATACCTATTATCCATATGCATATTTTCGATATTAAAAATAAAATAAAAATTTTTAATCATTTTTTGAAATGATTCATAAAAAGAGAATATTGTTTAAAAGAAAGTCATAATTTTAGAATGCGTAATCAATTACAATTTGAAATGAGTCAATGAATGTTTCATCAATTGAAGTGTAACATTCAGAGATAAAAATATTTGAAGGAAAAGAAAATAATCAAAAACTCTACACTATTGAAATTATTTTCACATCGATACGATATTTATATAATTTGGACAACTATCTCTCAACATAAAAATGCAATCTATCGATTTTAGATTTATCACGAATACTCGATATCTATTAAATCATTGTTTTAATTAATTCATACGCTACGTGAGCTTAGTTTTTTCAATCCAACCAAACCTTCCTTGCATATTGGAAGATCACAGACCTTCTACTATGGTCTATCGAACTTTTAGTTATATTTGCTAGAGAAAACAGAAATTTCCTATGAAGCGCTCTGGTTTGTTTTTTGAAAGAGAGGGAGAGGTACAGTGTGCATTCAGTTTTCATCAATTTAAATAGTAGTAAATATATTTCCAGACATGTTCTATCTGTTGATATAAAAGCTTTGTTACGTATGCCAAGTAGAATGGAAAGTCTGCCAATCAAAACTAAGCTTGAAAACACCTGTCATAAAAAAATGAAGTTTTTGCATAAGATTCAGTCAACGCATAAGCAAAAGTAGCGTCTATTCGAAGCTGGCTTAGTATCCTCTATCGACTCGTAAACAAAAACCTATAAATTTGAGCTTATGTTTAAGAAAAAGTAGCAATGTCTCTGTAGTGATTTTTCAAAAGGCTGAGCTTAGTAAAATGAGCATGTCATCCCTAGCCATGATCTAGATTCACTCAAATTTTGTCAAAGTATTCGTCTATCTAAGCTCTATCAATAACAGTTACCACAAACGTTCCTGGACTTAGGAATGATTTTTTCAAGAAATCATCGTTCTCCAGATAGGTCCCATTTTTACCGTCTAGAAAAGTTTTCATTGTACAACAATGGTATATTCAGAATTAATGCGCGAAACCATATCGAATGATGTATGATGCAAAATATTTTCTCATCAAAAAAATTTACTTGAAAAAAATGCGAGCAGTGATTGCTCTCAGATGTTTTTCAACAAAAAATTGTTTGTTTTCCTAAAGTGAATTTTTTTTTTGTAATGATATGCAATCACTTCTGAACAAAAGAAAACCATTTCCGCGAACGAAAGTTACATGTACGTCTGTAATGCGAAAAATGTACACTGTGATGAGAGTTAAAATAAAGAAAGTTTGTCACAAATTTCAGAAAAAATTAATCATTATGCCATGCCATAGCGTGATTACGATAGAGTAAAAATTAGTGATACTTACTCATCAATCAACTTTAGAGAAAGGAGAATCGGACTCCCATTTTTTTTGCATTTTGTAGTATAGGCTAAAAATAGTCATTACATCATGAGGATACTAAAAATAATACACACATGAAAATCAAGTATGATTTTAACGCTTCCAGCAAACATTTGAATACGCGTGAATTGTCATCAAGTACGCAAAGTAATATATGACTCTTGTCTTTTGAATACGTGAAAATTCTATTTTGACTCATTCATGACTCCTAAACACAGTTTATCGATTAAAAATTAACCTTCAAACATATATTAAAAAATGTTGATCGAATGCAATGATTCATAATTTTTGCATTACTAATGCACATATCACCTATGCAACTAATAATATCAAACTCTTTGAAAACAAAAATTAAAGATTATACACTTTAAAGTATCATATTTATGGATTATGTGACTAAAATATTCAACAAAGATTGTCGAACTTATTATCACTGGTTTATAATTCAGAAAAAAAGAATCATCATCCATGCTTTCTATATATAAATTTCTAAAGAGCAATCAAAGCTTCATGTAATCGATAACATTTTTTTCTTCTTCTGTGTACATTAGATTCCCTTTAACTGCTTTCTATGATATTGAAGAATGAAACTTTAGACGAACTATCTTATCTTTCGACTCTTCAAGTACTAAACTCAGATGTCGCTAATATTCGAATAAAATGAAAGGCTAATTTTTTCTTTGGTTTTAAGTTTTTACCATAAAATGATCATGAAACATCCAGAATGTATATTACGGAAGAAGAAAAGAAAAGCGTTCTTCTTTCGATTATTATAAGATAATTTTCAATGTAGAATTTCATATTCTATGTCAGTTTAGATTTACTTTTATTTCTTATACACAAAAAGCAAACGAAGCAAAATGAGCGGTAGTGAGAATCAAAGTGAAATCGGTAAATTACAACAACATCTTATTCTACTTCGTGAAGAATATGTTAAACTTCAACAACGTTATAAAACCTTAGAACGAAATTATAATGTTCTTAATTCAACAACAAAACTTGATCAAAATTCATTTGTTTATCGTCTACTTAAAATTGTTGCAGAATTATTTAATCGTGAACTTTATAGGTTTGAAAAAAGCAAAAAAAAAAAGAATTAATTTCTTATATTTGATTTTATTTTCAGTGATATTACAATTAAACTTGATGGTGAAACTTTATATGGTCATCGATTTATTTTAGCAGCACGTAGTCTTAAATGGGATCCACAACAATTAGGTGATGCATCTGAACTTGATTTATCTGGTAAGAAAACTTTTTTTTTCATATAGAAAAGATTTTCTTTTTACTTTTGATGATTTATTCTTTTAGACATTCCGTTTGATGTTGGATTTCAATTGGTTAAATGGGTTTATACAGATGAAATAGCTGAAAAACAGAATGAAGATTTTTTATTAACTTTAATGAAAACAGCTAAACGTTTTGAATTAAAAGAATTAATTGATCAGTTTGTAGAAATTAACTTTCTTTCATACTAGAAAGAACAAAAAAAAAACAACTTCTTGTTTCATTTAGATGTGAAGTTGCATTAATATCGGCAATAACAGTTCGAAATTGTTTAAAATTTTATAAAGTAGCAGAAGAAATCGGTGCACAAGTTTTACAAACTCATTGTAGTCAACTAATAAGTGCACATTGGGTTTGTTATATCTTTTGAAACATATTCATCAATTGAAAGAAAAATTTTTTTTTTTCTTAGAATGATTTTATGAGTGAAGACTTTCAACATTTACCTGCACCAATGACGTATAAATTATTTAAACAAAAAACTAAATATTCACTTCATCAAGCTGTACGCATGAGACGTGAAGATGTACTTTTTCTTTATTTAATTGATAATGATGCAGATGTAAGAAAGACAAAACAGAATGATATTTCTTTTAAATTTTCTTTTTTTTTTTGTCTTCCAGTTAGCCGAGCGTGTTAATGAACTTGATGATCATGGTGAATTAGCACTTGAATTAGCATTAAAAACACAACAAGATAGTATGGCAGAAAATCTTGTTCGTCATCAAGCAGATATTAATCATATTGATGCTGAAAATCGAACATTACTTCATTTAGCTATTAAACGAGGTAATGAAAATATTATTTTATTCTTAATATAAATAGAAAGAGAATGTTTATTTTGTTTTTTTAGGTGATGAACATTCTGCAACATTTCTAATAAAACATGAATGTTTACTTAATCATCAAACAACTGTCGGACGTGAAACACCATTACATATATTAAGTGGTCTTAATCCAGCTGAATTATTAACAGATGTTATGTCTGGAATGTGTCGTGTAGCAGAACTTATGCTTGGACATGGTGCTGATACAAAAAAACAAGATGCAAGAGGCAATAATTGTCTTCATCGAGCAATACTTTCTGATAATATTCATGTTTTTCGAGAATTATTAAAAGCACCAAAATTAGCATTAGATGATAGAAATAAAGATGATCATGTACCACTTTGGCTTGCTCTTCAACAAGCTGAACAATTGCGTAAGTTATTTCAAATATTTCAAGATAAATAAGCAAAATTCAGTAAATATTTCATAACAAATCTCTAATAATGATTGATAAGATTTTTAATTATTCTTGTTGAACTGCTTAAATTTTACATGAATATGTTTATTAAATTTTAAATTTAAATTTTACTATGAAAATTTCATAGAAAGCATTTAGAACAATAGGAATCCTAACTTGATCAAAAAAGATTTTGTATACAAGTCATTTTAATATAAAATATTAAATCAGTTGATATCATTCATATATTATTGAAGAAATTCTTAATAATAAAAGATATTATTTTGGTTGTCTCTTATTAGCAAAAAAAAAAATGACGCATTACTCTGATAACGAAAGCGTGATGATAAAAGAAAAGAAGGTGACTACTTAAATATGTCGTTGACTTTACGATATACAAAAAAACATATCTTTTTAGTATGAAATCTTGAATACAAATACCTTCTTTTACTAGAATAGCTTTACATTCCATATAATCAAATCATATGATTCTTAGTTCGATTAACCAAGAATTGGTTTTGATTAAGCTAATTGTTTGAAATTAAATTATTTTTCATGACATTAAATAATTAATTGAGATCATCTAAAACATATTTCCATCGAAAACTACAATATAATCCATTAAATTTATCAAAGATGTTTCTAAAAATTTCATAATTCTCTTTCAAGAGTGCATTCTTCAAAAAAAGAAAAAAAACCTGTGATTTAAGTGGTCAGTATAATACATGAAATGGTCAATACTTGAATTATCAATATTTAATTACAAAGGATGTGGTTGTGGCTTCGACTGAGTTTTCATTTCATTCACACTAATACGTCCTTATGATAATCGTATTCAGTTTCAGTTTTATAAACAGTAACATTTTTTACTGTCTATATGATATAGTAGATAAATACTTGTTCTACATTAATGTCAATGACACTTAACTGTGTTGCATCTGTAATAAAGTATTCTCTCATTTTTTGTATAGTTTGTATAATGTTTTGATAATTCATTTCCAATTGATGATTCTGCTCTATTAATATTTCTAAAAATAGTCTCGTTATTCAATATTTTGATTTGTTTTTTTTGGCAAAATCTTTCATTTC